TTACCTAGCTTTAAGTCTATCATCAGCGACCGGAGAAGAGATCTTATCAATATATTCGTTCTACTTTACTTCTATCTTTACGAGCCTTCTTGACTATCTCCGAGACAGAAGATTACAGGGCCTAGTGTATACTCGCTAGACTTTAGAGTTACCTACCCCCTAACACTAGCCTTCTAACTGATCCTTAGGCCTGAGTGGACATAGTTACATTACTACAGCTACTTAGATACACTTATTCCTTTAAAGTACTTTCTGTTCTTAGAGATACCTAGACTATCAGATAACTCTTGGACATGTCTCGTTATATCCACCTACTAGTAGTCTACTATTTGACCTCTTGGTTGTCTGTATGGTTGTAGACTTAGTTTACTATAGCTCTATAATATAGATTCATTACACAAATTAATAAGGACTTAAGCTAAGCCTATATACTTAAATTCTTAACAAATCTACCAACATGATATAGTATTTAGTATAACTTTAAAACTCCTACTTACCTGATATGATTGAATAGGATTTAACCAAACTATAACTTAAGAATTTGCTTATCCGGTATTTGTATTTCAGCTAACTATCTCTACTCATATGAAATCTATTATAGGTTGGTTCTATCGTTATTAATAATGAACTGACTAGTATTCATTACAGGCCATAATCCCATAGTATTTCACTTCCCAGCTCTACTATTGCTCCAGCCTGGGAGGAATATTTCCTCTGTCATTTCCACTCCTGCCCCCCTCCAGAGGCTCTGTAACAAATACTAGAACTGACTATTTATATACCTAGCATAATAACAAAAGGTAGAACAGACTAAGAAGAGGAGAGGATATTCACTAGTATGAGAAGTTTCAGAGCATTGAGACGATGGTTGCCAGTATTATTAGTATTCTAACTCAAACTAGTATTAGTGCGTGGACAACTGATTACCTGGGCAGAGCTTACCCCTTCCTGCTCATTTCTTGGGATTTCTTGAAATGGTGGTGTGGGTTCAAAAACGAAGGAAGGGATCGCTAGCGTCCTCAACCTTCGAGAACGCTGCCCCAGGCCCGATCTGAACGGGGCAATAATATCGCCACTTGAGGAAAAGCCCGATTGAACCCCTCAGGTTCACTGTGCTCCTACAAGTACTCGCGCCATCCCGGACGGCCAAAATCCGAAGAACTCGCCCCGTACTATACAGCGAGGGATCTGGGACAGCGGGTAAGAATTTAGTCGAAAGAAGTTCAGAGTTCACAGAGATCCATACGGGACAGCGAGGTATCCGGATCATCGAGAGGGGCGTGACTGTACGAGTATCGGCACTAGTAATGGCGGTACCCTACAGGTGTTTCGCTAGAGGTGTATTTTTTATTTTTTTTTCGGAAAATATGCTATCATACGGTACTAGTACGAGTACACAGTAAACCTCCTCGGGAGGAGGGATGCAGCAGATGCAGCATACCGGTACAAGGCACTGAGCTTCACGGTCATTTTATTCCTCGTCCCTGTCTAAACCAACTCACACTTCACAATAGACTACTTGGTCTGCCACACTAGAGACACCTACCAGGCAAGAAAAAAAGCAAGCTAATATACTGGTCCGATGGCAGTTTATAGGTGACGTTCAGGGCGGTACCGGTACTCGAGTACTCGTACAGTGCAGTACGCACGAGTACACTTGTATATTCAGGGTATGTTGTGTACCCAGTTCGCAGCGTCCCGGGAGCTTTGAATCTCCCTGCTACAGCATCAGGACGATACTCGTACGGTGCCGTAGCGGTTTTCCCCCAGGTTGGTTGGCCCGGTAACCCCTGGCGCTCAGAAAATCCCACCCGTTGAACGATACAGTAATGCACCTATCGTGATGTTATCGCACGGTATCATGCTTCTCCGGCCGTATCGCAAAAGCACCGGGCGTCATAAACCAACCCGCCCTCGCAAAGCCCCAGTCTGCTACTGGTAGTGTAATACCGGTACACTTTGTTTGGCGAGACTTTTTAAAGCAGCTTCATAGCATTATTCAACTCGGGCTTGCACAGTACACATCTAAGCTACAGTATTGATACACATTAAAGTTCCCCTTCCCGCTCCCACCCAGAATGCAAAATGAACCCAGACGTTAAAAACAAAACAAAAACACTTCTTGGGACACTTGTGATCCAATCCGGTCCTGTTTAAGCTCTCGTATCAATTTCCATCGGATCATCAATAACTTCTACCATCTTCCTCCTTCCAATTACCTCTGGGGCCGTCTGTTTCTCGAAAACTGCGCCTGCGGGGCCGCCCATCCACGTTTCTGGAACGCCGAGTTTTATGCCAGATGCATTGCTGACCCAGCGAACCATGGTTGGCGGCGGTGCGGGATTATCGGATATGCCACCCATTGTGGAATCGGCGTATGGGCCCCCAGCGGGTGTAGCGTCACCGGTTCCTCTACCTTTGCGCATTCTGGGGGTCTGCTTCTTGAGGAGTTTGTTTATAGTATCCATCTGCGGGGGTAAGGGACAGACCCGTTAGCCGCCTAATCCAAAAATCTGAGCACGACAAAATCTACCTTTTCTTCCTCCAATCTCTGGTCTGTAAGGTTCTTCCGGCGTCTGGCCATTTCTGCCCTCTTGAGGGCTGCCTCATCCGCGGTCAATGGAACAATTTTGGCTGCACTTGGCCTCTCTGTAAAGCAGTCAGTGAACTGTAATCGTGCAATTATCCTGCCGCATACCTATGCCGGTAGGCAATTCCAGTAGATCTGCGCTGTAGAGCTCGTCGAATCTGCTCCTCTGCCTTCTGGTTAATTTGCTCAAGTCGGGGGTCCCGGTTCTGCTCCTAAAATCTGGAGAATTGACGCCGGTATTGTTATTCGTGACGTCGTCAGAGTCCAACATCTCCTCATCATCGGTCTCTCCTTCAGCGTCTTCATCATTGAGGCCATCGTCCTCAAGGACATCTTCTGCATCCTCTTCGACGTCGATCTCTTCACCTTCTGCGTCCTCCTCCTCCTCACCCTCCGCGTCTTCGTCTTCTTCCTCCTCTTCCTCTTCCTCCTCCTCCTCCTCCTCCTCCGATGAAGAGGAGGAGGTTTCTTCTTCCACAATCTTGCGTCCTCTCCCCGCACGGGCCGGCAGAGTCATTGTAGGAGCCCTAGTCGTCACGATACCGTCTGAGGTCGCCGATGCACTACTTTCGGGGGTGGCAGCGGCAGTGGTACCTGGACCACTGTCAGCTGCAGCAGGGGGGGGTGTCCAGTGGGAGGTGGCTTCACGAAGTTTATCCCTTCCCACCTTGAGCGTCAACTTGAAAGGCTTCTCCTCTGCCGATTTCCCTCCTGCCTTCCCTCTCGGTTGTGGGGCCGACCTCTGACTGTTCCTGCTTCGTGATGATACCGTGATGGATTCCCTGAGCGAGCTGCCCGGGGTGCTGGTGATGGGTTTTCTCCTTTGAGTTTGTGCGGTGCTTGTGGGCTTGCGACGGTTGGAGGCTCGCGATGCTGGTTCCCTCAGGAGAGCTTTGCCGGTGCCTTTTTTCCGGGGTTCGTCTTCGGAGACATCCTTTTCCTCTTCGAAAATGTAGCTAGTCCGATTAGAGTAACTCCTTACACGTACGTATTAGGGCGGGGGGGGAGGGGGGGGGGCTCACGAATCCTCGGCTTCCTCTGGCGTATCGTCTTCATCGCTAGACTCGTCAAAGTCTTCTTCATCCTCCTCGTCCTCGTCGCCGACTTCATTCGCTTTTCTGGCTGGCTGAAAATCGATAGGTTCCTCCAGATCCTCTTCCAAATCACTTAGTTCACTATCTGAGTCCGCAGACGACACCGATTCCGAATCCGAGTCGCGCTTCCTCTTGGGGGGCGGAGCCTTAGCGGTGACGGCATCCGCTCGCTTTCTCCGAGTCGCCATGTTTGTGTTTGCGGAGATCGCAAGTTGAATTCAGTGGAGGATATTCCGGGAAAAGCGCGGAAGGGGTGATAATCGGTATGGTCAGGACAAAGTGTTGGTATGGGAGCGACGCGCCTTTTCCTGGCAGCGCCGGCGAGAGCTCTCGTGACGGTGGTATTGATTGCGTGACAATGAATGTCGATGAAACCTAATTTTGAGGCTCAGGTTTTACGGAACTCGCGACATTCGATCGGCATTGTACAAGTGCCCGCTATCCATTGAATCCGGGCACAACACAATGGGGGGGTGGTTCTCGTGCACTGCGACAGATTTTCAATGCTCCAGAATTGATGTTTCAAGACACTGGTTGCTAGAAATAAACCTAGCTTGAAATACCGCTAAAAGTGAATAAACATGGCTCAGATTTTATTGCCCAAATTGAAGCCAGGCCTACGGTGAGCAGCAGCATGGATGTAATTGGGTAGTCACGCTGAATCACTCGCATTCCTACTGAATACGATGGAAATCCCGATGATGGGCTTAAAAGAGTCAGAACCCCGCCCCAAGGAAAGGGAAAGAAAAGAGAAAGAAATAAAGGTATCATAGGTTTAGACAAAAAATGTTACCTAAGAAACATGATTAGGGACAACGCTATGGCGGTTGCGGAACTCGTTGATAGAGGACAGTCTATCGTATTATCCATGTCTGACTACCGCAGTGTGACCTATGCACAAACAATACGTACCTGACGCCTAATTGACCCTCACCAATACCGGTACTCCATGTCTAATCCCCATGTGGTAGGAGTCGGAAAGCCGTGCATCAAGTCGTATTCCCGCTCTCTCCACTCTCATCTCCATCTTCGCACTCTTCTCCCCTATCCTCATCCCCATCAAACCCCCAAGAGCCCGCCCCATCCTCCAACTCCATCCATTCATCTCCCTCTTCCTCTTTTCCCCGCATGCTCTCGCTCATCAACCCCACCTCCTCATCCGCTAGCCTCTCCTTCGCCGCCTCAACCTTCTCCGCCTTCTTCACCCCTACCCAAAGCACGCTCCCGGAGATACACGCGCTCCCCACCAAACTTCCCCATCCCGGAGTTGTCCCCCAGACAATCCGCTCCCACGCCAGTGCAAAAAGCATCTGTGTATAAACCATATTCGTGGCGCGACCAGCTTTCTCGATCTGCAATCCCAGCGTGAGAAAGAACTGCGTCCCAAAGCCGCTGATACCGATACCCAGGAGAAGTCCCCATTGAAGCAGCGTGTGCGGCCAGATAAGCCCTCCAATTGAAGGTATGAGGAGTGAGGACGTGAGGGAGACGATGCAGCACCAGAACGAGAAGTAGAGCATTACTATCAGTGCATGGGCGCGAGGGCCTATCCAGTGGATAGTCGTGTAGGCGGATGCGGCACCGAGGACGCCAAGAAGGGCTACTAGGATTGCGATTAGGCGTTGATGAGGGGTTGTCAAGGGAATTTCACCAGTGGGGAGGAGTGAGCGTGCTGTCGGTGGGGGATGAACAACACCGGGATCGTCGGGAGTGTTCGCGGGATCTCGGGAGAATAGAGATGCGGGGCGGGCAATTAGGACAACACCAAAGAGGGAGAATATAGATGCGAAGAACTCAGTTTTGGTGAATGACTCATTCAGGTAGGGTATCAGCGAGCAGGCGAACGTCGCTACAATCGGCGCCAGGAAGGTGATTACTATAGCATCTGAGAGGTCAAGGTATGCCAATGAATCTGCGGTATTCCACGGCTGTCAGCATTATACCCCTGCTGCAATACAGGATGGAGGGAGAATGGAAAATACCACGAACAATATAACCCGAACACTCCAAAAAATCCTCCTACGCCTCTCGCGACTAGGAGCCACCGCACTCCCCGTGGGCCCCACGGCGCATGTTCCACACTTCGGAAAGCCATCAATATAACGACAACAATCGTCGTGACACTCTGTCTGACGAACAATATCTGCATGGCATGCATCCTGTGTTCCGGAAATGAGGTTTCCAACACCCTCGTGCAAAGACTCATTATCGAGCCAAAGAACTGCGATAGAAGGACAAGTAGTGATCCCCGGTTATTGTACACAACGGACTTGCCCCACGTCCATGTCCTCACCACTCGAGGACTCGACTGGTGGCAGGGAGGGAGGACGTGATCGGCGAGCGAAGGCGCCGACGCTGAATCTGTGGATTGTGTGGACAATGGTATCAATAAGGAGCCTTTGTCTACCGCCACGGGAATTGGTGTGAGCGTGGGCGAGCGGGAGGATGGGCCCTGTTTTGGCTCCCGAGACATGTTCATTCCTTTTCTCTATGCTTTAGTGATTTTTTTTTTGAGAATTGGCCTCGGAGGAATTGGGTGGTGGAGGAGGAGAGTTTGAATTTTTCTTTAAGACTGATGTATTCCGTCGCTTCCTACACCTCCACCTGACTTGTCATAATTGGCGTGCAGTACCTCACCGCTTCGATGGCCCTATTTAGTCTAGCGGATTCGCATATGGCCCTTTTATGCGGCCTACAGTATTGTCGTACTCATCATTTTTGCCTTCGAATGTCGGCGGTTAAGTGTGGGTGGGGGTTTTCAAACTGGATGGTTGGGTTATGCGGGACAAAACTAGCGATATAGTGTAGTGGGAAGTGACGTGCGGTTTGGTACAAATGGTCCTGCACAGTAATTTACATTGCGGTACAATACTGCACGAGAGAGCAACACACTGGATCTTAGCGCCCAGTCCACTGTCCAGCGAGTGATTTATTGTGATTTTATCAGCGTGGTATATTAGGTCTCGAGAGTGCGCGAGTCCAAATAAATTCACATATGATAGCACACCCCGCTTCTAGGATAATAGGTTTAGAGGATTTGCGTTCGGATATGGTTTACGAAGCCTTTTTTCCAACCCTCAGCATACATGAAATACCTGATCTATATTTGCTACCGGAGCCAACAGGGAACCTGCAGAAAAAAAAGAAAAAGAAAACAGAGACGAGAAAAGCGTGGGTATTTGTTTTGGATATTCAAGATTAGACTGACCAACGTTAGTGTACAAATATTCGAGAGGGAAGGGGCCAACTCACACCTGAGATCCCACCCAATCTTGGGCCCAATGTTGGGGAGTTCTTCGGCGACGCTCTGGACGTCTTTATCCCCTCTGCCGGATAGGCAGATGACAATATCCTCGCCAGGTTTCATTGTCTTTGCCAACTCCATTCCGCCGAAAATTGCGTGCGCACTTTCAAGGGCTGGAATGATTCCTTCGAGTTCGGAGAGTGCTCTGAATCCTTCGAAAGCCTCAGCATCGGAAGCAGCAATGAACTTTGCACGGTTGCTATCTTTCCAACTTGCGAGTTCTGGCCCAACCCCGGGGTAGTCCAACCCAGCGGAAACGGAATGTGTGTCAGAGATCTGACCCTCAGCATCTTGGAGAATATAAGTGCGGACTCCATGAAGAACACCCTTGCTACCACCAGCAAGGGTAGCTGCGTGTCTAGTAGTCTCTAGACCATCTCCACCGGCTTCCACACCCAACATTTTTACCGAAAGATCATTTGCAAAGGGGTAAAACATTCCCGCACAATTCGATCCACCTCCGACACAAGCTACTACTGCGTCAGGTAGTTTCCCCCGCTTCTCCATAAGTTGCTTTTTGGTTTCGTTCCCAATGACGCTCTGGAAGGTTCGAACAATTGTAGGGAACGGGTGCGGGCCAATAGCAGATCCAATGAGGTAATGTGTTGTCGAGAGGTTGGAAACCCACGAACGAAGCGCCTCATTGACAGCGTCACGTAAAGTACGAGTCCCTGGGAAGGAAGGTATAAGCATCTTCTAGTGATTACGGTGGGAGAAACTTCCTACCAGCGTCCACAGATATGACCCGGGCTCCTAGAAGTTTCATTCTGAAAACGTTCAAGGCTTGACGCCTCACATCTTCCTTTAAAAGGTAAGCGCACCTCTGGGGTGTTAAAATTCGCAACGACTGGTTCAACTTACAGCGCCCATATAAACCGTGCACTTCAGACCAAACTTGGCACAAACGGTTGCGGTTGCTACGCCATGCTGCCCGGCTCCAGTTTCTGCAATAATCTCGGTCTTACCCAACCGCTTAGCGATAAGAACTTGTCCGATAGCGTTATTGATTTTATGAGATCCTGTGTGATTGAGGTCCTCTCGCTTCAACCAGATATTGGCGCCTCCGCATTTTTCAGTAAGATGCTCTGCCAGATGAAGCTGTCCTGGGCGGCCCATATAGGGATAGTGCGACTGAAACTCTTCCCAGAATTTAGGGTCGTTATTTGCTTCAATAAAGCCACGTTCTAGCTCTGCGAGACAATCCATCAGAGCTTCTGGTACGTATTGACCGCCGAATTCGCCAAAGCGAGAAGGAATTGGCTACCACTGTAAGAACGCGTCTGGTAATAATGAGAAAGCACCTCCCTGTACTTACCTGAGAGTTAGCTTCACCATCGATGTTTAAAGCATTAAGCTGGTCCATTAAGCCTGGGCCTGGCCCCACATCCTTTTCAGTAATGACACTGGTAGGATGGACATTAGCTGGCTCTTTAGCCTTTCTGTTGGCCCCCGCAATCCCGACTTCATGAATGGACGAATCTTCGCCATCCCTACCAACAATCATTTGGCAAAACTCCTTAACCTTCTCGTTGACCTCTTCGGGTTTTGATTGAGAGATAACATTAATGACCTGTGACCCGATAACAACACCCTCAGAAAACTGGCTAACCGAGACGAACTGGTCGCGAGTGGAAACGCCAAAGCCGACTGCGATAGGAATGTTTCTGGATGTCTCGTGTACACGCTTGCATAGATCACCAAGACCAGCGTTCAATGTACCCGATACGCCTGTTGTCCCCATACGAGAAACAACATATATGAATGAATCGGCTATGCTGCAGAGAAATTTTAAACGGGAAGGATTTGTAGATGGAGCTATAAGCGGTACATAACTCAAACTATGAACACCTGGTCAGTTGAAGTAAATCTTGTGAAACCTTTAAAGGCGAGCATACCCCTCGTTATTACAGAATCCTCTAAATTTCACAGCTTCCTCTGGAGGCAGATCGCAAATGACGAATCCATCAACACCGGCCTCTCGACAATCCTTGACAAATTTTTGCTCGCCGTAGATCAAGACCGGGTTGTAGTATCCCATGAAGAGGACTGGCACTTTCAATCCTTTCTTACGAGCATCGCGAACTGCCTTCAAGGCTGCGGTAGCCGACATCCCATTTTCCAAGGCAATCTGTAGTGCGTATTAATTACCGGCTGATCGGAAGAAGGGATGGGGGAAATTTTACTCACGGTATTTGCTTTCTGGATGGTCGGCCCATCTGCGATTGGATCGGTGAAAGGTAGGCCAAGTTCAATTATATCTAGAATTGTCAGCTTTACCGGCCACAACTAGGATTCCGGAAAGTATCGATCACACCAGAACCCCCAGCCTCCATTGCCAGCATCAGACCTGCAGTTGCCTCAACTGTCGGAAACCCGGCAGTAACATAAGTCACCAGAGCCCCCTGTTTTCATAACGGTTAGCGGTTGCAACGGGAAATTCTTGTGTACTCCGGAGAAAATAGAAGCTCACCCTTCCCTCTGCCTTGCAAGTAGCGAACGTCTTTTTGATTCTGTCCATGAAAGTTTCCCTGTTCACAGGTAATTGATTTTGTTTTAGGAAGGGTTGTGGAAGAGCGGGTAAATGATTGTTGTGGAGGAAACAAAGAGGGAAGATGGAAGAAGCGTTCTTCGGGCAGTGTTGGAGGGGCAGAGGAGGAATTTCGGAAGGGCAGAAAGCCACCCCGCAGCGCCAATACTCTTAAATTTAGGTACGCTACCATACCAGACCCTACCACCAAAGGCTCAGGGTTAGGGCCGCAACACCCCCTCGGAGATCTGCCTAGTGAATCAACCTAGGTACATAGTCTTCCTTTTTCCCGGACTCGCCTACAGCCTTTCTTCCTCCTCGCCTGGCCAACGGACTCACTCGTGCCCACCACCGAGGACATCCGGAGGCAATAGGCGGAACTATGGTGCAAAGCATCTAAAGGCGGGACCTCCGATGAAACAGGAATTGTGGTGAAACCCCTTGCAACCGATCCAGGTAATCACAAGAAATGCCAAGTTCTATACCCTAAATAAAGCATAGAAATAGGGTATAAGGATAGGAACTCCTTAACCAAGATAGACAGGAATAAATTTCACAAGTTAACCTGAAATAACTGTTCCATAACCTTATGCTAGCCTTTGGTCTTCAGCTTATAGTTTTTATTTAACCCTACTCATATCCACTCCACAGTATATTTCAGCACACTCCTATGTACATTGTGTCACTTGTTTTGCTCTTACCAAAATTTTCACTTTTTAATCATTAATACCACAAACTTGAAACACTTAATTATATAAAAAAAAACCCAAGAACTATTCTGCTGGGAAGTGAGATTATTTCCTGAGTTTTTTTTCCTTAAAATTTGTTGTTATTGTCTACTTATAAAAAGGCTCGGATTTGGCCTATTTTGAGGTTCCAATTTTAAGTCATTTGCACTAATAACTGGTATCCCACCTATTTCACTGTCACTCATAGTTGGTAAAACCAAGTGGGACACGAAACCAAATGGGACATCCCATAACTTTTTTTGTTTTTTTTTGAAAGATTACCCAGAAAATAAAGCCTACTAGGCAACAGCACATTCTTAAATAACTATAGGACCAATCTTTCACCTCCCTCTTTGGCTTAGTAGCAGGAACTTGAATCTGTTTTACAGTATCTCTGATACTGTACTTATACTTCTATTACTTCAAGTTCTGGGCAACTTGAGCCTTGATTGTAGTAAGTTCAATCAATTGTAATCAACTACAAGTATCTCTTGGACATAACTGGTAGTGGCCTTGTCCCTATTAGTACAGTCACTAAACAAAAGTCTTGGTGATTGCTCTAGGTGAGATAAAGTCTATATACTGAATAGATACTGGTACTAGTAGATCTAGTATTGTATGAGATAAATAGCTACTGTAGGGCAACAGTATTAAGAATCCTACCGGGCATGAGGGTGTGACAGGTAATGATCCTTAATTCATAATAAGGTAATAGTTCTTAGGCTGATGGCTACGCAATACTGATAGTCAAGTCCTTTTGACTTCTATTGTTAAGAATCCTACCGAGTAGGACCTAGCGACAGGTAATAAGACTTCTCTTTAAGTTGATAGCTCTCAGGCCTATGCCTACACGATCCCGATAGTCCAGTCCTTTGACTACTATCGTACTCGCGCCTATCTCCTTATTCTTTTCCTTAGTCCTCGCCTAGGACTTTAATCTTTTCTCGTGAGAGGAAAGACACTTCTCGGGTTTCTTAAGATAAATCTTAAAGAGCGTAAAGGTAGGTTTTGTTGATAATATCTTAAAGGTAGGAAATAAACTAGAAGAACGTGTGAAGAGCTCATACTTGGGGTCCTAGTGACCCTTTATATAGTCGCTCTTCACCTGGTGTGACTCACACCTCATGTCACGCGAACCCTGTGACTCATAACTATGAGTCATATGAAATCCATCAGATGACTCCTATGAGTCGCTGCGCAACATGCCTTAAACCAATCAAAACATAATAACCAAGTCAAGTGCACAACTCGCATCACCTGAGTGAAACCCATGACTCATAAGTATGCGTCATGTGCGAAAATCATAACATCGTGTGACTCACAACTGTGAGTCACGAACAGGTAAATATAATAACCTATGGCGCACTAGTGTGCGTCACGTGAAATCCCAACATACCTATAACTCGGAAATCCGAACTATGTGAAATCTGCCTTGCTTAGTCACAGTTCGTGACATTAGCTCTCCTCTCCCCCAGACCGAGTCCCATCGGGCTTCAGTCTTCTATTCCCCATCTTCTTCCTTCGGGTAGCGGATAGTACCTATTCGCTCCCATGTTCACCCTGACCACCCTGGCCAGAGTTCTTCTCGCTTCCTTCTCTTCTTTTCTCCAGTCATTCTGGAGAACCTTTCTCATGTTCCTTTCTCCCTGCAACTCCTTCGTCAAATTGTTGTTGCTCCACCTCGTCCTTTCCAGCTCCTTCTTAAGCTCTTCTATCTTTTCCGCCTGATATTCCAGCAACTTGCTGGTTTTGGTTTTCTCAGCTAACCACTTCATTTTGACCTCCTTCGAGGTCTCGTGTTCCGTCTCCTCTTCCATTTCCTCTTGCCAGGAAACCTGCTTCGATTTCCTGGGCCTCTCCCATTGTTTTTGTTTTTTCGCCCCCCTCCTCCTCGATTTCATCCTCGGAGTCGGTTCGATGTATTGGACCAGAGCCACTGGTTCTGGTGTGCGGGATCTCGTGGGCGTTGGGGATCTCGCTGGTGATCCCAGGGGTGAAGTCTTGGGTGGCCATCGGTTCCTCTCCTGAGGCCAGTATCCCGAGCCTTCTTTTTCGTTTTTGTGCACCTGGCACTCGTCGTCGTAACAACTTGTCCATGACAGGTTCGCGTGCTCCCTTTGGGTAGTGGGAGTCTTGGGTATCGGTAGGTCCTTCAGACTTATCCAGTCTTCGGGGTTGTATTCCATCTCGTCTTTCATCTGTTCGGGGCTCGGGGTGCGGTATCCCGGGCTGGTTGGGGTGATGTGTTTGAACGCATCGCGTCCCGGATCTGTCTGGAGTGACGCCCTCAACGGTATCATTTCCATTTTTATCTGAGGCTGATGCTACTGGTAGGTGTCTGTTCTGCGTAGTGGCGGGGCCACACATTCGGATTAGGGTGCGTCTTCTACCGTTGCTTGACGGTTTGCTGGAGTATCGTTGATAGAATTGGTTGACTGCATTTTGCGCGTGATTGAAGTTCTCGGCTGGGTACCAAGTCTTATCGTGTTCTGGAGAGTATCCAGTCCACTTCGCTCGGTACTGTAAGCGACCGTAGTGTAATCGGGAGTCAATTATTTCTTCGAGTTCGTATTCTGATTCACCATCTATTTCGATAGGCGGTGGTGGGGGTTTTTTTTGATATGGTAGAGGATTGTCTTGATAGGGTTCGAGGAGGCTGATATGGAAGGTGTTGTGTATTTTCATTGACGGTGGGAGGTCGAGCTTATAAGCTCGACTTTCTATCTTTGCCAATATCTCGAATGGTCCTATTTTCTTGTAATCCAGTTTTTTCGTCAGTCGCGTGATTTGGATGTTGCGTGGTAGTAACCAAACCATATCTCCTGATTTTAGGTTTGGATCGGGTTTTCTGTAGCGATCGTAATCTTCCTTTTGTCGTAATTGTGCCGCAACCATTTCGTTTTGTAATGTGTCATGTAGTTGACTCATATCTTTTTTATCTGTTATCTTTCCTTGGAGCATATGACCTATGCTTTCGTATTCAGGGTGTGTGCCGTAATTTGCGAAGAAAGAAGTTGTTTTGATAGTTTCCTGTTTTCCATTGTTGTAGGCGAACTCCGCTAGTGGTATCCAGTCGTACCAGTCATCTTGTTGGTAGTTGACGTATGTGCGGAGGTATTGTTCCAGTATGCCATTAATTCTTTCCGTTTGCCCATCCGTCTAGGGGTGGAAGGCTGTGCTCATTCGTCGTTCGATTCCTAATTTTTCCATTGTTTCCTTCCACACTTCAGAAGTGAATAGTGATCCTCTGTCGCTAATGATGTCTTTGGGTAACCCGTGTAGGCGGTATATTTCTTTTAGAAATATGGCTGCAAACTGCCGTGCCCTCATATCCTTTTTGCATGGTATGAAGTGACTCATTTTGGTCAGTCGATCTACTACCACTAGTATGGCGTCGTGATTGTTTGACTCGGGTAAATTGGTTATAAAGTCTAATGATATAGACTTCCATGGCTTTTCTGGGGCCTCGTTTGATTTGAGTAATCCATAAGGTGGGTGTCGTACCACTTTGGTCCTTTGGCACATATCGCAATTCTTGACATATCGCTTGATGTCTTCTCTTATCTTGGGCCAGTAATATCTTCTGTTAATAAATTCGGTAGTTTTAGCAGTTCCTCCATGCCCGGCATATGCAGGGTCGTGATGGTGTCGTATGATTTCTGTGCGTAATTCTTCCTTGTTTGGTATCCAGATTTTCCCTTCATACCACAGGTAATCGTTTTCCCATTGGCACAATCCTAAGGCTACCCCCTTGGTTTCCTTGATTCCTTGTGCCAGTTTTTCCTTAATGGCCTGTATTTCCGCGTCTTGCGAACTTTCTCTCCTGATATCTGCTTCCAATGTTGTTCGTGTGTTGATTTCGTTCAGGGACTCGTATCCACTGTCTTCATTCTCTGATTGAAAGTATTTTTCTTTTGGCAACAGTATTTGTTGTTTTTGTTTGATTCTCTCATCTTCTGGATCTTTTGGTTTGTCCGCTGATCGTCTTGTCCAGGCATCTGGCTTTCCTCCTTCTTTTCCGGGGCGATATTCAATCTTGAAGTTGTAGGTGCTGAGTTTCTCCATCCACCTTATTTGTCGTCCATTTAGCTCCTTCGTGGTCATGAAGGGTACCAAGTTTTTGTGGTCCGTGAGTATTTTGACTGGTGCTTGATTGTTTTGCGTGTATCTTCTCCATTCTTTTAGCGCTTGAACTATTGCTAATAGTTCTTTGTCGTGGACGTCGTAGTTGCATTCCGCTGGGGTCATTGTTTTGGATCGGAAGGCCACTGGTCTCCATTTGCCGTCTTCGCATTTTTGAGAGAGTATGCCGGAGCATACGTATTTCGAAGCATCTGTTTCGATCATTGTTTCCTTTGTTGGGTCGAAATGTACCAGTATTGGTCCTTTGGTGATCTTGGTCCTTAGTTCGTCGAACGCTTCTCTTTCCTTAGAGCCCCATTCCCATTTGACATCCTTTTTTGTCAGGTTGTATAATGGTTTAGCTGTTCGGCTAAAACCTTCTATGAACCTTCGATAGAAGTTGCAAAATCCCATGAAGCATTGGATATCCGTCTTGTTTTTCGGGTATTCCTATT